CTATAGGTTATAGTGATCCGATCTTTGTAATTTTCACTGTAAGTATTCTGTTGATAATGGGTGCAAGTACTGCAAAATTTCATGTTCGTAGCTGCATAAATGGAGAAGTTATAACGAAAAATCTCATATCTGAACAATCAGTTGTATGGGAGCTATATGTTATAGTGGTCCGATTCTTTCAGTTCCGACAAATGATTAATACATTATAAAAATACACCCACCTACCAAATTTGATACGGATATCTCAAAAACTGAGAGACTAGATTGCATACAAACAGACGGACAGACAGACAGACGGACACACGGACATGGCTAAATCAACTCAGCTCGACGTTCTGATCATATAAGTATAGATTTTAATGGGTCTATCTCTGTTTGTTCTGGTACTTACAAACATCGGACCAAAGTTATAATACCATTTCATGCTCATGAAAGGTATAAAAACAGGTTCATAGGCATGTCATTTTCATGAGCTGTTACGGCGGGACATTAAAAGAAATACGGAACATTTGGCGTGCCGTATGAAATAAATAAATTACCAGGACAGCTGACGAAAAAAAGAGGACTGTCCCGTATAATACGGGACGGATGGTCACCGTACCTATATAGTGTGTTTTTCTGCTGCAGGAGTGATCCTATTAAATAGAATTTATAGCATAATGGGTGAATGGAAGAAGACTTACAAGGTGTTATGCTTCCCTTTCTTTACCAACACTGTAACAATCTAGGACACACGTTAATGCTAGCTAAGACATGTTGAAACTTTTAAAAATATGAAAATTGTAAAGTCGCCGGCCCAAGTATAAGATCTCAATGCCATTGGAAACCTTTGCAGGGATATAAACCTTATAGGTATTTTCTTCCATATACCAAAAAATTATCGAGCATACTTTATATGGAAGAAAGCGCACGACACCGTCTGCGAAAAAAATTATTAAAAATCAGCACGATTTTCTAGCGTATTGAAACTTGCACTCTAACCTACTAAAATTTAATGGGCTATAAATCTGTATCCCTGAAATGAATAAAAAGTTAAAAATTTGTAATTGGTAAAGTTTGTTGAATATTTATAATTTCTGAAATGTGGATTTGTGTCGTGCTGATTATTTATAAAACTGAAAAGGCCATACAGACGCAACCTACTGATATTTTGACCTGAAAAGTTTGGAACTTATTCCTCTTATTAGGGTGTCGCTACCTCTGAAAGGTATACATCGGAAATCACGCTGGTATAGCTTTTGAGTTTTTGAATGATCATTATTCGTAAGTGAAAAAATAAAACTCAATAATCAGCCTCATTGCGAGAGTCGTGTCGAATGCAAGTCGTTTTTCGAGAGTCGAAGCGCATAAAAAATTTAATGCCATTACCGAAAATTTTTATTCGACTACTGTATTAAAACGGAAAAACAAAAACTTGGCAGCACTGCATAGTTTTCGACGATATTCGTCGTTTACTTATTTCAGCACGACAGCAGACAGTGCCAATTTTGTCGAGTCGTACAATTTAGCCTAAATAACGACTTACGCAATGAGGCAGAATAATTATTCTCATTGACTGAAAAAAACAAAAACCATAAAATAATCATTATTTTTGATCGAGAAAATAAAAACTAAGTAATAAAAACTTCCTTTGAGCGAAAAAATAAAACTCTAATATTAATTATTATTTTTAATCTTTATTGATTAAACTCAACAAAATAAAAATCATTGTAAATTCGAGTAGGACATACGAATAAGTGAGTATAGTTAAATTTGTTTTACGACGATTACAACTTGTTGATTTTTCCGGGTAAAATTTAAAAAAATAATGACTATTTTTCGTCCCGGGTATATATATTTATATGGATTTGGCTGTAGCATGGACTATTTTTTATAAAAAATGACTAAAAATAATATAATTTAACCAATGGCCTACTGTATACATAGATACATATATGTAAGAAAACATATTTTTCGCCATTTCAGTGCCAAGTAGAAATGCGACCTTAATGACTATGTTTATAAGCTTTTATTTTTAACCGACTTCCAAAAAGGAGGAGGTTATCAGTTCCTCGGAATATTTTTTTTTTATATATGTATGTTACCGCATAACTTTGGACCACGTCAACCGAATTCTTTTTGCATCGGAAAGGTAGTGTCTCGGAGGTGGTGCCATACTAATCTGGTTTAGATCATTGGATCATGAAATATATATACATATATATATTTTTTATATGAGAATTGAAATCGATTTGTTTTTGCTTAAAAATTACTTGTTGAATGAAACGGGTAGAATTTGTAATGTAGAACTTTGTCATTAAAATGTTTGTCATTTTGTCACCACAGAAAACTAAACTTGGGATGTATGTAAGTCAAAATCTGAGCTCACTTCTTATGCTAATGTTGTTCATATACATATGTATAACACTGATTTATTACACACCAATTGCCGCAACATCTTCAATAATCGCTGAATCCACTCTTATGGGCCGCTTAAGAGTTGCTTTTAATCCAAACACCTTAAAGGTTTCTTTAAAACTGATTGTGTTGCTTGCAAAAATTTTTAATAAGAACCCGCAAATCTATCGACATGCAGATCGAACCATTTATCAATGGAAGAATTTAAAAATAAACCAAATTATATTAATATTTACCGTTGAAGAAGCTGCGTAGTCAAATAAGCTCGAATGAATTGAAAAATATGTTTGCCAGGCATAGTAGCGTATCGGATGCGCACCTTTCGCCACACTCTTTGTCTCTAATAAAAAAAAAATTTGAATATGAATACAAGCATAAAAAGGAAAGTTTGTTTGGTTTCTAAACATGTAAGCGATTTTGTCTACAAGCTATTTGCATAATTTTTTTTGTAATCAAACAACAATGGGGCTGCCAGCAATGTTAATGACCGCTTCAAATCAGATTTTAGCTTGAGGCATCGATTAGGACGTTCAG